GCAAGATAAACACTCTTAGCTGCTCTCCCCTCCTTCATGGAGCCAGTCATTTCATTGTAAAAGGGTACACAATGAAATGACCTGCTATACAGGTCAGCATACTTTTCTCTTCATAAATCCATGCTCACAACTCCCAATCACCTTCTTGTCCTTAACAGGTTTGAAAATGGCTTCTAGGAAGATTTGCTTTGTCACTTTTCCAGGGATCGAGGTGAGGCTGACCGGCCTGTAGCTTTACAGATGCTCCTGCCCATCTAGAATCTAGGGGTGACATTCACCTCCCCCAAACACTACAACCTTTCAAAGAGAATTAATGGTGGCGTCACAGTGACGTTGGCTAGATTCCTCTATGCTCTTACAAACATCCCATCAGGTCCCATAGACCTGTGTGTGAATAATTCGTTTAACCCGATTCTCCTCTGCCAAGGGTTATGTCATCCTCGCTCCAAACTTTCTGATTGGTCTCAGGGGCTTGAGATTTCCAGAGCCAAGTTTTACCTGTGTCCTGATTTCAGCTGGGATAGAGTTAACTGTCTTCCTAGTAGCTGGTACAGTGCTATGTTTTGAGTTCAGTATGCGAAGAATGTTGATAACACTGATGTTTTCAGTTGTTGCTCAGCAGTGTTTAGACTATAGTCAAGGATTTTTCAGCTTCTCATGCCCAGCCAGCGAGAAAGCTGGAGGGGCACAAGAAGTTGGCACAGGACACAGCCAGGGCACCTGACCCAAACTGGCCAACGGTGTATTCCATACCATGGGATGTCCCATCTAGTATAGGAACTGGGAAGTGGGGGTGGGGAATCGCTGCTCGGGGACTAGCGGGGTGTTGGTCGGCAGGTGGTGAGCAATTGCACTGCGCATCATTTGTACCTTCCAAAACTTTTATTACTACTCTTGTCATTTTATTAGTGTTATCATTATCATTATTAGTTTCTTCTTTTCTGTTCTATTAAATCGTTCTTATCTCAACCCACGAGTTTTACTTCTTTTCCCGATTTTCTCCCCCATCCCACTGGATGGGGAGGAGTGAGTGAGCGGCTGCGTGGTGCTTAGTTGCTGGCTGGGGTTAAACCACGACAACCTGTTCCCCAGGAGTAGTTGAATCTGAAGTTAAATTTTACTTTTCATAAATTGCTTAAGAAGTAGAACTGTTTGATTTTATATCAAACAGATGTGCTCTGTGGATAAGATTCTTTTGGAAGTCTTTAAGGCTCCATTTAAAGAAGGCTAATGAATGCTTTCTAATGTTTCTGTCTTTATTTTACCTCATTTGATTTCTACTCCCTACACCTGGAAGCACAGCAAGTACCACACTGATGTCCACATCTAACAGACCATCCACGGTCTACTCTAAAGGTGACTTCTCATAAGGAGAAAGACTTTTCTCCTGATCACCTAAAACAGGTTTTACTGTAACCTCCTTCTGAATTGCCAATATTTTGCCACTGGCACTTGCAATCAACATTTCCCACTAAATGCTTTTTAAACCTTTTGGAAAGATCAGGAAATACAATCTTAGACAAAAGGCTAATAGTTGCTTTTGTTTAAAGACTTTACCATTTTACATGTGGGTAACATGGAATTTAAGTTTCATGATCTCTATAAGGGTAATGTATTGCTGTTGTTTTTCAGAATCCAAATGATGCAGTTCTAGGGGGAGATTATTTTCTATACACAGGAAAACCTCAGCTGATTAATGAAACAGAAAAGGTATGTTGTTGTAAGGGCAAGCAAGTGCTCCATATTCTGAGATTTGCCCTGTACCTCTAAAAAAACCCCACTTTTTGTTTTCAGAAAGGATTGCTTCTTTTCCCTCATGAACATGCATATTGTTGATGCATGGATGGTTTACCATTTGCCTTCACAGTGTCTGAAAACTCTGCTCACCAGGGGACCCTTATGAATTGCGAAGTCCCACTCAGTCTAATTTCTGGAGCAACTTTGAAGGAAATGGAAAGAACTTTGACTACACAATGGTTACTGATAAATCAGTTCTCTTTGAAGCATAGTTTGCACCTGGTTTTACATATTAAGAACAGGAATTTTTAAGTAATAACTTTACTGTTCCAGAGAGGTGTTAACTCATTTTTGAGAATTTAATGCAATGACTGTAAAGCTGTTCTCCCAAGGACCCCATCAACTCTGGATAACTCTACAATTTTGCAAAGGGCTTTCTGAAATCATGGTTAGAGCTCCAGAGATGGAGCTCAGGCAAAATCTATTGTGTGGATTGTCAGGAAATTGATGCTGGGATCCCCAGCTGGCAGAAGCTGAAGGACTTCTGCACTACAGGCACAGAATGCCTTGATCTTTGCTAATTGACCTAACATCATTGCTCGTACAGGCAAGGTGAAGGTAAAATGAAAGAATTTATTTACTGAATCTAAGTGCACCAATACAGTTACTGAAAAGTATAAAAACAGGTGAGAAAATTTGAAAAGAAGCTCCTACATGTACTAATCCACTTAGACGACAGCTGAAGTTTTCTCTTGGCCTACAGCAACCCGTATGAAGATGCAAATGCAACTCAGTTAACTGTTGATTAGAGAGATGATGTTTGGGCACTGCTTGTACACCAATTCCACTTCTGCATGTCTACCCATTTTATTTAACCTTTTTTCTCAATAGCTCTGTTTTTTACTATAGGAGAGGGAGTGGCTCTTAAATACTTTTAAATTTTGAACAGTTTGGTTAAAATAGAGTCTTTGTTTGCTTCTGGCATTTTAAGGGCAGCCTACGTGAATCAAGGCTTTCGGCATTGGGGTTTGTTTTTTGGTTTTTTGGTTTTTTTTTCTCTTCTTCTGAAATCCAAATTAATTTATCTATTTGTATTATTTTCCAAGCTAATTTTGTCCTCTGGCAGGAATGGACAAGTACAAAATTTAAACAGTGTTTTGCTTCTGTTTTGTTTTTGGGAAGCAGACCAGTAGCTCAGAATTTCATATGTACTTTGTCTGGTTTTGGCTGGGAGAGAGTTCATTTTCTTTCTAGTAGCTGGTATAGGGTTATGTTTTGGATTTAGTGTGAGAATAATGTTGATAACACACTGATGTGTTCAGTTGTTGCTAAGTAGTGTGTATACTAAGTCAGCTTCTCATGCTCAGCCAGCAAGAAGGCTGGAGGGGCACAAGAAGTTAGGAGGGTGGACGCAGCCAGGACAGCTGACCCAAACTGGCATTCCTTACCATGTAATGTCATGCCCAGTATATAAACTGGGGGGAGTTGGCCTGGGGGAGGGGTGTGAATCGCTGCTTGGGAACTGGGCGTTGGTCAGTGAGTGGTGAGCAATTGCATTGTGCATCACTTGTTTTGTATAGTCCAATTCTTTTAATATTATTATTGTCACTTTTTCATTATTATTATTGTTGTTGTCTTCCTTTCTGCCCTATTAAACTGTTCTTATCTCAAGCCATGAGCTTTACTTTTTTTTTTCCCTGATTCTCTCCCCCATCCCACTGGGTGGGGAGAAGTGAGTGAGCAGCTGCCTGGTGCTTAGTCGCTGGCTGGGGTTAAACCACGGCACACATTTATGATTTTATGATGGGCTGATTCTACTTTTTATTGGAAAAGCTCTACCTGAAGGAGGGTATCCCAGTCAGTTCTGACATCACAGAACTTTTCTATTTGTGAATTTCAGAGCTCATTTTTCTGGTACCCTCCACTGAGAGATGCAAGGAGAAAGGACAAGAATGTTCAAAGCAGTAATAGTTCTACACCTCTGCTAACCGCCTTTAGATGAGATGTACTAGTCAAAACACAGGAAATCTTGGTGTAATATTCCTATAGATAGAATAATCATACTGGAGTTTGATTTTGCACAATATGTAACAAAAGATCTTGAATTCTCCAGTTAAACTTCTCTAAACTTAGGCTAATTAAAAGTTACCAGGATGGCTGAAAGAAAGGATTTAACTTTGATCTTAAATCGTGTACTTCTGGAATATGGATTCCATTTAGAAAAAGAATATGAGCACACCAATTACCATTTTGAAATAAGTACTACCTGAAACATATGCATAGGCATTTTTAAATAAAATAAATCTCTGACAATTGCTTGGAATTACTTAAAATTCTATAGCACATTAAGCGTCAGTAAAGGAAGCACTACCCAGGCTTATCTATGGAGATTCTGTACCAAGTGACCTACTTGCCCAGGGACGTATCACAAATTTGCAATCTTTTTCAGCCCAGAGAGCTTCAAAAATACTTCGGTCCTTTCTCAGTTCAGGTTTGGGGTACAGAAAGTCTTAAACCCTAAAATACTCATGTCTGAAGCCTTAAATCTCTCAGTGGCAAGATGCACAGTTCTTTATCACCTAAAAAAGACTGGTTAGACCCTTAGTAGCGACCACCCACCCGCATAGCGCTCTGGCTCATTCTCTCCAGTCAATCTAATTTTCAGAGACAACTTGGAACTGCAACCCCAGCTAAAACCAATTTAATTGGGATAGATCCCCAGTCAAGTTGTAACAAAACCGCTCAGAACTTACTCCACCGCAACCCCTTCCTGCTTACACGTAGTTAGGGTGTTTTCAAGGGTTTATTCCCTGGGGTAATTAAACCGCCTCCCGTTGAACTCGGCTACCCAAAGGGCACTGAGGTGGGAGATCTCTCTCTTCCTCCGTTTCTCAACCCGCCGGCAGAGCGCCCGGTGCGTTTCACGCCCCAGCAACTAAGGGACCCAAACCTGCCCTGTTACAGGCGGGGTTTGGGACCCAGACTCCCCGCTACCCCGGGCGTCAGCCGGGAACCCTCCCGCTTCGCTGACGGGGAAGGAGCGCCGTTGCCCCCCCGCCGCTCGCGCCGTCCGTCGCGCGGGGATGGGC